TTAAGACTTTCACAGATTTCCAACTTTCCTTCAGTAACAATTTACTACATTTTCTTCCCTAAGATCATTCTGAACTTTACATCTATGGATTTATACCGGAGTCATTTGTGCTGGTATGATCATGTGGAGATCAGAGATGGATATTGGAGGAAAGCACCACTGAAAGGTTTAAGATGAACACCTGCCATTTCAAAAGAACAATATGAGCAAGTCAAAGTGAAGCTTAATTAATGTTGAGTTGTTTGTTTGTACCTCTGTATGCAGGTCGATTTTGTGGGGATAAATTACCGGAGCCAATCGTCTCTACAGACAGTCGCCTGTGGATTGAGTTTCGCAGCAGCAGCAACTGGGTGGGGAAGGGCTTCTCTGCTGCTTACGAAGGTACCAGCATTCAACCAAATCAACAACTATCAAATATTATAAAACAAGTGCTAGTGGGCATTGAAAAAATTATGAAGAAGCACTATAGTACGTGTGTGTACATAAGTGTGTACATACAATCTCAAAAAATTGTGCCTTTAGCTCATACCGTTGACATTTTCATGTAAACCTTCATATATTTAATAATTTGCAATAGCAGTTTCTTACTTTCCTTGCGTTTCATATGCCAACCATAGCTGAACTACTGAATTACTGAGTTTTCATTAGGTGAACACCTAACAATATCCGTTTCCAGTAGTTCATATTGTGAAATAAGTAATTTTCATGCTTTACTATCATGTTTGCACTGTAATATTTTATCTTGCAGCTATTTGCGGTGGGGAGGTGAAGAAAGACAATGGTCAGATTCAGTCTCCGAACTACCCAGATGACTACAGACCTAATAAAGTCTGTGTGTGGAAGATCACTGTGGCTCAGGGTTACCATGTAGGCCTTACCTTCCAGTCGTTTGAGGTATGATTAAAAAAGTTGTTATTACTGCATTATAAGCATGTAATTAATTGCTTATACACTGTTATAGTGTTAGAGTGTGTCCTAAACAAGAAAAGACAGTGTATATCCAGAAATAAACATTAAAGGGTTAGTTCACCCAAAACTGAAAATTAGCCCATGAATTACTCACCTTCAAGTCATCCTAGGTGTATATGACTTTCTTCT